TTACATTTTTCCCTTAGCGGTTTTTAGGCGATTTCCATGGTTCAAGTTGGAGCTTTCTGAAAGCTTTTATTTGGTGGTGAAAACCTACTCCCTGGCAAACAACACTGGAGTGGCCGATGCGCTTGTTTGAAAACCGTCAATTCGATTATTTGCTTTCTTTTGAAATCACCGAATAAGTGCAGTTTGAAGAATATTTTAAACTATTGTTTCAGTCCGGTGCCATAACCGTGGCGCCAACTTTTCGAGTGGATGACGGGGCTTTTTTCGAGTATCTGTTCAAACTTGAAATAAATTTTGTCATTGAATTAAAACCGATTTAATTGAAACGTTTTGTCTGCCAGTTTCATTGAATTAACTTTCGGCCATTTAGTGAAACGGTTTAATAGTTTAAATAACTACCCACAGGATGATCCAATCATATGATATTGTCGATGAGGCGAGACAAAGGATACGACCAACGATGGTTGTTAAAGACCACAAATGACGTGTTCCTATTCCGAGGGAATTTAAATGAGCACATACATTGATTAGTTGATGAGAAAATTAATTCTTTTAATCTAACTAACAGGACATTCGCTTTTTTCTCATACCACTGCAGACACCCACCAAACACAACCCACCAAAAGACAACTTAAAAATATTGATCAATCTAAAAATGTTCTGTTGTGATTGTTAAAAATAAAGAATAAAACTAATTACTATTTCAGCAATCGTAACATTATAATATTTTGGGAATTGGATACTGAGACAAATACAACTAGATACTAACTAGGTTTTAAAGAATAAAAACTAAGTTTCAAACATAATAATAAAAAAAACTAAGTTTCAAACACAATAATAATAAAAACTAAGTTTTTATTCTCACCTGAGGATGACCACTTGGTGGTTGAAACGCGTTGTGTTTGAAATAAAAGTTTGGTGTGACGGGTTTAATCGTGTTTTTGTTCATCGTTTCCATACCAAGAAGTTCCAATAAGAAGTACTAGATTTTAAATTTATGATTGCGTTACTTTCTAAATAAAACAGTCTTTAAGAGGAAGTACAAAAAAACAATTAATTTAATAAATGAAACACCTTGTGTTAAGTTGTCTACGCAATATATCCATAAATGATTTCGTTTTAAATTTTTTTTTTTGCAAAAATGACAAATTTATTAGTTTGTCTTTATTATTTTTA